GGGCGGACTCGAGTAAAGCCTTTGCGAAAATTATTCCACTAAGTACGACTGTGGCGTCAACCGCGCGGTTTTGTGGTTGGGTGCAACCTGCAGGGCGATGAGGAGGTTTCGTACGAAGATGTGCTTCCGGAGGACGTAGTTGTGTTCAGGTGCGGCACATGCAACGAAGACGCGGCGTGCTACATGCCCGGGACGGAGTCGGTGGACCGCGGCTTGTGCTCGTGCAGCTGCAAGGACGGATGGCATGGCGCGTCGTGTCTTCCCTTCGAGGTGCCCGACGCGGTTGTGCCGCCCCTGCCGGAGAGAGCCGTCGACGGCGACACGAGCTGCGTGGTGAATCAGACGCTGAAGAACCTCACGCTGAAAATGTGGAAGACGCACCACTGCTACGTGGGTGTGACATTCAGCGGCGTGGGTGCTATGCTGACGTTCTCCCTCAATCGGATGCCGCTGCATCTTCCCATCAACATCACGATTACTGGGTGCACGTTCCTTTACGGGGCTGTGCTGCAGTTTGTTGGGGGTGCTGAGGCGACCGAGTCATCCGGCGTCCTGATCCGCGTGAGCCAGACTGTAATGCGGTCCTCCGTTGTTTTGTTTGCATTTGCCCTCCCGCAGCACTGCGACATTGCCGTCACGGACGTAGACGCGGTGCAGTTCTCTGAGGTCCAGTTGCCGGGATCTGTGAACAACATGTGGAGCGTTGTGATGCTGCAGAACGTCGTGTTGAGCGAGTCCTCGCTGTTGGTCAGCAACGTCAAGGCGAATGCATCGAGGCACGGCTTGTTTGGTTTGTACTCGACCGGGACGCTGACGCTGGAGGGTGGCAGCTCGCTGTACGCGCGGTATTGCAGCTTCGGTGGGTACACACACCTGCTCTGCGTGCACATTCTCGGTGTCAGTGATCACTCTGTTTTTGCGCTGCTCAACAACACAATGGACTCCGGGACAAGCTTCTTGTATCAGAAGCAAAAATTCAGCGTGTCAGATCACGGCGTGTTGCGCGTTGTGGGGAACAGCGGTCCTGTTTCCAACGCCATTTATGCATCTAACTTGTGGACCGTCCAGCGGTCAAGCTGGCTTGATTGGCGCGACAACAACGTGGGAGTGGGTGCGATGTTCCGTTACTCCCCATTATTTGCTATGAGCATTGACAGCAGCAGTGTGGTGACGCTGACGGGCTGCAAGATGGGCTGGACGGGGTTGTCGAGGCCTCTGCTATCGCAGTCTGACGCCGGCTACCGGTTTGTTGCTGGGTGCCTGACGGTCGCGGGACGGAAGGTGACGACGGCGGCTGAATTGGAGCTCCATGGCATCAATAACTTGACGACGGTTACTGCGTGCGGGGAGTGCACGAAGGATGGTAACTGCTTTGCTCCGCTGACGACGGCTGTCATTGATTGCAAGTGCCAGTGCGCTGCTGGAGGGCACGGCGATGTGTGCGTCCCGGCGCCTGTGCCTGTTGGCCCGCCGCCACCGACACCGCCGTCGCCAGTGCCGTCCACGCCGCTGCCACCGCCGGTTGGTGAGTGCATCAGCGACATGGTGCACCCCGAGGTTGCGCAGGCTGTGGGCGGCGGGCTGTCGTGGCTGTGCTACCGCAACGTGACGTTCAGCGGGGGCGGCATGAGCCTGACGGTGCTGATTGGGGCGATGACGGGCGACGTGGCGAATGTCATGTTTGATGGATGCACGTGGAGGGACGGCGCCGTGCTGTTGCTGTTGGGCAACGCGTACGCCGCTGTGGGGTCGTTGAACATTGTCGTCACCGGCAACACGTTTATTGACGCACTGCTAAGCCCGGTGGGTGTGTTTCCACCGCGCACGAACATCACGATCAGCGGGAACCGCTTTGCGGTCACGAGGCTGATTCATTGGCCGGGATTGGACGTTGGGAGGACGTTGTGTATTGCGATGAATGGACTGGCGATCAGCAATGACTCCGCGGTGGTGCTCAGTGGCAATGTGTTTCAGAGCGTGACGGCATTGTCAAGCGCCATTCACGTCGTTGAGTCTTCGCTGAGGGTGTCGTGGCACTCCGTGTTTGCGGTGATGGCCAACACGTTTAATATGGAAGGCGGTAACAGTACGCTGATAAATCTTGGAGGGTCTAGACATTTTTTGTCGCTGAGTGTACTGAACAACTCTGCCGTGGTGATCCGAGGCAACGTTGTGACGAGGCCGGTGAGGTACTTCATTTTATTTTTTGGGGCCTCACGTGTGGAGTCCCAGTCCGCGGTTGTGTTTCAGGGCAACGACATGCAGGGAAGCTTGGCTGTGTTTTATTCAACTTTTTCCTCCTACATTTACTACAACTCTTGGCTGCAGTTGAGCGACAACCTCTGCCGCGTGCCCCCATCGAATGTCTTTGCTTTTTTTAACCCCACGGTGAATCTCCGCGACTCCACGTTGTCGGTGTCCGGCAACCAATTCATGTCCAACAATGGAGTGACCAAAGCGCTGTGGATATTCTCAGGGCCAACCGATCTTAAAAACGGAGCGATTGTGGCCGCGTGCAACACTGTGAACGGCGTTGAGGGGGCGAATTACAGCATCCCGTCCGTGTACAATGCCACCATTCTGACCTGCAGCGACCCATGCACTCTTGCGACGTCGTGCTTCCCTGCGTACACGACGACGACCTCGAGTGATGGCTGCGCCTGCAGGTGCGCGGAGGGAGGCCACGGCGATGCGTGCCTGCCCGTTGCTGTTCCCGAGCCACCGAGCACCGACGGCGCCGACCTTTGCGTGCGGGACGTGCGTGTGGGTCTGGAGGTGAACGTCAGTTTCGAGACGTCGGTGGTGTGCTACGTTGGTGTGACCTTTGCGGCGGACGTCGTGGTGGACGTGGCGTTGATGTCAGGGAGCGTGCGCAACGTGACGCTGGCGAACTGCACGTTTGTGGGCGGTACGAGCCTTTACGTTTTGGGGTGGCTGTCCGACTCGCCTGCTGGAGAGCGCGCCGATGTGTTGATCAGCGGGCTTGAGTCGCACTCCGGCGGCGGCGTGGTGGTGGCGAACCGATTTCCGCCGGGCTCGCGCGTCACTGTGGTGGACTCGGTGCTGATCGCAGAGGCGCGTGTTGCGTACCGCGGCGCCTACGACCTTGGCGACGCCTCCGCGTGCCTCGTGGTGCACAGCGTGAATCTGATGGGGAGTGTGCTGACCATCGCGCGCACGCAGGTGGCGGCTGTGTTCCGCGACGCTGTTGGCGTGTTGTTTGTTGGCGGCGTGGCGCTGTCGTCGCGCGGTGCGCTGTACGTGGACGGGCTGTCGGTGCAGACGGCGCTGGGGCTGTGCGTGTCGGTGGAGGGCGGTGTTGCGGCCAGTGGCGGCTCCGTGGTGGCGTTTTTTGACAGCGACTTCCTGCTGTGCAAGCACGCGGTGCCTGTGCGTGGGGCTGTGAGCGTGTCGGCCTCCGCAGTGGCGCTTGTGCGGAGCGACTTTGTATCGACGGGGGACTACGCGGTGGCGTTTTATTCGACGGTGAGCCTTGCCGGCGGGTCGATGCTGCTGGCGAAGGGCAACGTGCACGACGGCGTCTCGAGGGAGATGCTCTACGCCACTGGCGCCGTGACCGCTGCTGGGAGCACGCTGAGCTTTGTGCGCAACCGAGCGCTGCTGCCGCGGATGCTATCGCTGAGCCTGTCGCTTGCGGCTGGGGCGCATTTGAGGGTGGCGTGCAACGACGCTAGTGGGCGTGTCCTGTCGACGGCGGAGGAGTACGCAGCGGCTGGTTTTGGCGACGCTGGGAGCATCGACGTTGTTGGGTGCGACGACTGCGACAGGGACACGTACTGCTACGCGCCCGGGACGGCGTCGGCCAGCATGAGGAACGGTGTGTGCGTGTGCGCGTGCGGCAGCGGCGGGTACGGCGAGGCGTGCGTGCCTGTGGGTGCTCCCGCGCTGCCGCCTGCCATGGGCACTGTGCTGAGTGTGTTCGTCCGCGGGGGCGTGACGGTGCGGTCGGTGTTCGTTGTGCCTGCCGGCGCGAGCGAGGTGACGCTGCGCCACGTTGTGCTGGACGGCGTGAGTCCTGTGCTCTACGTGCCGTGGATGGCGCGGGACGGCGTGCGGATCGTTGTGCAGAACGTGTCGCTGCTGAACGGTGCCGTGCTGTACGTGATGGGCGGTGGAGCGTTGCGCGGTGCGGTGTCGGCGGGAAGCGACGAGGGCGGGCCGGTGGAGCTGTCGATTTGCGATGTGGAGGCGCTGAACGGTGCGCTTGTGCTGACCGGCACGTTCCCTGCGGGGTCCGTGCTGACGGTGACGGACTCCCTGCTGGTTGCCGCGAGGTCGACGCCGCTTGTGTATCTTCCCGGCTCGCGGTCCTCGCCGTACGCACCGGTGCTGGTGCTGTCGGGCCTGCGGCTCGTGCGGTCCGTGCTGGTTGTGTACGGCGTGGCCCTCGTGACCGTGATGACTGGTGGGTGGACGGTGGTGGTGGACGGCGCTGTGCTGGAGCTTGTCGGTGGCGGTGTCGCGTTGGATGCGGCTGTGTTTGGTGGCGACTTTGCGTTGTACGCGAGTGCGCGTGTGGTGGCGTCTGGGGGCGCTGTGCTGCGCGTGTCGGGGAGCCAGGTGTACGCCGCGCATGGATTGGTGTTCGACAGCGGGGTGGAGGCCAACGCGTCCGCCGTCGTAGTGAACGACAACGCCGGTGCGCTGACCGATGGCGCGCTGCTGGAGCTGCGGGGGTCGGCGTCGTTTGCATCCGGGTCGTGGCTGTCGGTGCGCGGCAACAGCATCAGCGGCAGGCTCCTGTCGGTGCCGTCGTACCCGCGCAGTGCGGAATTTGTGCAGAGCACGCTGACGCTCCACGGGAACGCCGGCAGTGGGTCCTTCGTGATGGACGGCACCGTTGTGCTTGGGGGCGCCGGCGGAAAGTTCGTCGTGGGGT